GGCTATCGGTTGGAGATGCTGCTATGCGTGCATAGACACGGATGCGCACGGAGGACGTTGTCGTGCATGCGTAGGTTGTCTCTATACGAGGTTAGCACGTTGATGTTGGTCTTGTGCATGCGGTTGGGTTCTCCACTTAGCGTGATTAGATTCCAAGGACTTCGTGCCAAATATGATCGCATCAGAATTTCTCTCGCATTAAAGGAACCAAAGAAAGGGAATATAGCAGTCGTCATTTCGTGTGTCGTTTTATTTGCAGATCTCTTATATTAAGAGAAGGAACATTTATGTAGCTGGAATGAGAGGTCAAGTATTTCTCTTACTAACATTCTCACCTTAAACTCATCTCTTTTCCTCCACTAATTAGGTTGAAAATTCTTGCAGGATGTGTCTCAACTTTAAAAAAAAATTGAAGCTCAATCCTAAACCCAATGTGTTGTAGGGTTCTATTGTGCACGGCTGACCTATTCGAGCAATTCCAAGATGGTCGGCCTAATGAGACCAGAAACTTAGGGAAAAAGTGGGAGCGTTAGGGCTTCCTCGTTGAAGGCAGAGGAAGGATTGGTAAAGCGCACGGATTGGAAGTCGCTTAAGGTAGCCCGGTGCGAGCAGGGGAATACCCAAATGGGATAGGTAGCTACCCCATTTGACCATTATAAATACACCACCACTCAACGAGCCTAGGTATGAAAATCTATCTAAAGCTGATCTATCTTAGCTCGGATTATTAACTGATTTGGGTGTTAGGGTGGCCTACCTGTTTTGCCTTGAGGGAACGCTCCAAGCAGCACCTACCGACCTTCCAAGTCGTTCTTCGTGCCTTAGTACATTTTTGCATCAACACAGTGCAATGGAGATGCTATCGCAGATCGCCATAACCCAAGAACTTTGGTTTGAATATAGGACCTCATATTTTTATACAATGTTAAATCATTACTCAACCTAAAAGTCTAAGCTGATATGTCACAACAAATTTAATCATTTATCAGTATTATTTTAATACTTCCACTCAATTGTGGGTTGAAAATTTGCAGAAGGTCTAATGAGTGGTTATCAATATTATTTGAGGAGGAAAAGACTGTTACAAATATTCCAACCTAAGACATTCTATTTTGATATCACATATTAAATCATCATTAAATCAAAAAATTGAAACTAATAAGTTATAATAAATTGAATCATTTATCCATACTTTAATATTTAGTTCAAAAATCCTACCCGTCAGTGCCTAGGTCAATGGATTGGTAGAATAAATAGAGATCATGGGATGCTTCTACAAAGAAGATAGAAAGCAAAATTCAAACCTTCCATTGAACAATATTGCTCCTACATTAATAACTTCTTTTTAGTACCACAAATGTACAAATGTAGGGGGAGATTGAACTTCATATCTCTACGAAAGAAACAAGATGCTTTAACCGAAAGTTCATATTTGCTGCTACCATAATAACTATTTGGAATTTTATTTCTCCACTACCAAAAATCTAATTATGTTCAATGATTGATGTGTTTCTTAGGCTTTGCATTTGAGAAGACTACTAGTTTAAACTCTCCAAATAATTAAAAAAGAAAATGGAAATGAAAAAAAAATCACTTTTTGCCCCTAAATTTGACGAGATGTACTCATTTTCACCTTAAACTTTCAATTTAATCGAATTAGACTCTAAACTTATATAAGTTTTGCATTTTTTTACCATATGTTTAGTTTCCATTGAATTACCCACTAATTTTAATGAAGAGTAATGTAAAAATTCCCCAAAATTCACTAATTTCATTGAAAATAACATTTTACATAAAATTAAGTTTGATGCGGGCATAAAATTGACAATTAAAGAACTTTGTCACAACTCACAAATTTCAACAAGAAAACCTCTCTTAAATTTCAACACTTATTCAAGTGAAAGTAAAGATTGTAACCATTTTTTTAGTTTAAGGTAAAGATTACAATCTTGGTTAGAGGATCGAACTCATAACCTCTTAGTTGAAAATTACAACAATTATGTAAGTTGTGGTGGTGCTTCAGGATTCCAATGTATTGGCACCGACTCCCTTCTTACTAACAGCACTGCTACGTGTTGGCACTCAATTAGTTGTGTTGGCATGTCGCAAGCTGTCTTCCGAGATTTTTGGGTTGTTTGGTTCAGGAGAAAAATGGTATGTTAGTTTGGAATAACCGGGATATGCAACTGAGGGAAATACTGGTCACTGTTTCGATGTCATGTCATTGTAGTGGCATGGGAACCACTGAATGGGGGTGAGTTTCAGACCTAGAATATGTCCTTAGACCTTGTTGCTCTGGCATACAAGTAAACACGAACATGAATAGGAGCAGATGCAATTTAATGAAATTGAAAGTATAGGATAAAAGTTAACATACATTTTCAAATTCAAGGGTAAAAGTTTTTCCCAAAAAACATAGTGAACAAAAACTAGGCTTAAATATCATTTTGTTCCTTAGCTTGCTTGTTCGATTTGGTCCCTAAACTTTCAAAATGTTTAATTTATTCCTCAACTTTAAAAAGGTAATCATTTTGGTTTTTATTTTTATTTTATTTTAACCAATTAATAATATTGCTTCAATTATGTGTATGTTAATATGAACATGTTCGAACAACATTTAGTTCAAACCGAGTACTGAGTAGGTAAATTTTAGGTAGAAAAAATAATCTGACAACCAAAGTGGGTTATCTTTTTTTTTCTTTTAATGTTTGGGGATTAAAATAGACATTACGAAAGTTTAAGGACCAAAATAGTTATTTTTTAAAGGGGCAACTTGAGATATGGCAAAAAAAGTTAGGAAAATAAGCAAAATAGCAACAAGGTTTGGGTTTTTCAAATATATCATTTTTTTGGCAAAAAAACGGAGGCCTACGTTATAAATTACAAATATACCCTGCAGGCCCGAACCAACAATAAATTACTTCTGATTGACTTCTGATATACTAATGATGGACAGATATACTCCTGATATATATGTAATATATGTTTGATATACATATGGTATGAAATTGATTTACTTCTGATATAACTATGATATCTACTACTATAGGTGACATAGAATTGATTGACTTTTGATATACTGTTGATTTACTTATGATATAACTATGATTGACAGATATACTCCTGATATATATGTGATATATGTTTCATATATATTTGATATGAAATTGATTTACTTCTGATATAACTATGATATATACTACTATAGGTGGTATAGAACTGATTGACTTTTAATATACTATTGATTTACTTATGATATAACTATGATTGACAGATATACTTCTCATATATATGTGATATATATTTGATATACATATGATATGAAATTGATTTACTTTTGATATAACTATGATATMTACTACTATAGGTGATATAGAACTGATTGACTTCTTATATACTATTGATTTACTTCTAATATAACTATGATTAACATATATACTCTTGATATATATGTGATATATATTTGATATACATATGATATGAAATTGATTTACTTCTTATATAACTATGATATCTACCAATTATTTCGAACATATTACCTCTAATATATGTTTTATGAGATACTAATATATGAAATAATTTTTTTTTCAGATAAAAGCAATGGTACAAACACGAAAAATGAAATAAAAAAAACATCGTCGAAAATGTTGATGTCGTTCGTCTCAAAAGACAACATAAACCAACGCCAAAAGTGTTGTCTTTGGAAAAACGGAAAGCTTCAAAGATATTATCTCCAAAAACACGACAATCACCAAGAACCTGATGTCTCAAGCTTTTACCTAAAGATTATACAAGAATGAAACTTACGCTTTTCTAGACTGTTGGAACTTATGCTTCTGGAACTTATGCTTCTTCTTTTATAGAATTTTAAGAATGACATTATTAGTCTACTTTTGGTTTATGCTACTGGTTCGTTTTGATGTTTAAACCTTTAAGTTTTTTGTTGAAGGACTTTGCTGCTGATTTGATGTTGATGTTGATACCCAAGAATGATATTTAAACCTTTTAAGAATGACATTGTTGCTGCTTCCATTTTGATCTTTAAAACTTTAAATAAAACTTAATTGTACTATTGATATAGGTACAATGTATAATTGATATAATATATTATTGATATACAGAAAAACCCTAAGTTTCTATTTACCTCTAATTTCTAATTGATTTCTCATGCACAGTAATTTCGAAAATCACCATTGACGTTCACATTCACGTTCCTTTCAAGTTTTCTTTCTCATTTTCAGTAAGTATCAAATTTTTTTCTCATTTTCCATGCATACCAATACCTACTAATTTCTAATTGATCAAAAAAATACAAGACAATGGGTTAAAGCAGGTAAAATAGTGATAGTATACTCCTGATATATATGTGATATATGTTTGAATATAATAACGAAACGATAACTGAAAAGGGTAATTTGGAAATACTGAAAATTTTAAAATCAGGATTTTCAAAAAAATGCTATATCAAAAAGGCGTTCTATTTTGTTAAATATAGAAAACTTATATCTACCCATTACAAATCCCCTTTTTTTTAAGTTTAAAAACTAAAATAGATATTTTAAAGGCTGAAGAACAAAAATAAAACCAAACCTAAGTTTAGACACCAAAATAAATTTTAACTAAATAAACTACTAATTTGATAGGTGTTTTGACCAGTTGAGCTGTGCTATTATGTTTTACTAATTAAAACTTATTTACCAAAATGTTAAAATATGGGTTGAATTTTGAAAGGTAAAAGTGGTTTTAAAAAATCAGTCTTTTTGTTTAGTTAAATTACAAACTTGATTTAAATGGTGAAGATTGTTTAAAATAACATCGTCTACAAAAAATTGGGTTAAATTATAACTAAATGATGACATATCATACAAATAGATAAGAAAGTAAACAATTGGACAAATTAATATCATAGTTTACAAAAATAACTTACAAAAATAACTTATAAATCATTTTATTTTATGAAACTATCAACTTCTTTCAATCACTTCTTTCAATCACGTCTAATAGGCATGTCACATTAGCATTTCATTAGTTGAAGAGTAAAGTTCAACGACTAAATAGATACAACCGTCAAAATCAAAGTTGAAGAACAAGATTTATAATTCATTTCATTCTTCAAAAATGGGGACTTGGAAGTCTATGATTGAAGAGTGGCTGAGGTTTTCTTTACAGTGAAGAAAAGTGAATTAGGAAATGAAAGATAAACAAAATACAGAGAGGAATAGGGAAGAAAAAGAATCCAAATAACTTTCAATTATTATGAAATAATAAAAGTATTTTCTATACACAGAACTGAAAGAAACTATTATCTGAAACCCCTCACAATCTCTACAACTATTTCAAAGCTGTCCTCTGAACATTAACATGCTATTACCCTTATATATTTTCACATCCAAAAAACACAACGCCTAACAATTCTACTCCCATCATCTTCTTCTTCTTCACCACAAACACTACCAAGCGCACTCGAATCGAATCGGAAAATGGCATGTTATTACCTTATGTGTACACGATCAGCAATCGTTCTCCTTGCATTTTGATCCCGGATTATGAAAAGCTTCGAATGTTGTCGACTCTATCAATGACATCCAAGGCTTTCATGCGGTCGATATCGAAATCAATGACCGGGATGGAGTTGGGCCGTCGGAGGGGGAATGGATCCTTCTTGCTTTCATTGGTTGGGGAATGGTTACTACTTTTGCTCAGCCTATGGTGTTTGCTTAACCTGGTTTTTGCTGAATCGAATTCCTGACTCTTACTTATTCCAGGGGTAAGTTTTCTTTTACTCACATATTGAAGCATTTCCTGGTCTTCGATAGTCAACGTAGTGGATGGAGAGCTCGGTTTCTGGTTAGATAACTGAATCGTCCTCTGGTTTGGGGATCTAATTGGGGATTTAACAGGAGACCTTATTCCAGCATTACAAGCTCTAGCTTGGCTGATCAGATGGTGAAGCCATACCACCAGTTCAAGGATGTAAAGCTCGGTTTTTTCTTTATCGGCATGATAGAGAGTCTCGATCCTTAGTAACTCATTCTGGCCAGAAGGTTTTCGGTTTGCTTCGGACCTGAAACAACAGACTTATCCAGTTAGTTGAATAAGTAGGATATGGGAATTATGATATAAGGAGGCAGCATGTTCATAAATCACAACTCACCCTGTATTTGCCCATTCTCCAACCCAACCAAAACCATGATGAGCCCTGGAGAGTGCAAGAGGAGAAAAAACAGAGGTCAAGCAAACAGAACATTAGTCACCACAAACCCGACTCTTCTAACTGCTATTAGGAACCAAAGTCGAAGAGCATTGTAAAATTACCAATTCTTGGATGAGGTATATAACGCCAGGATGAATCGAAAAAGAAATATTTATTAGTTCTACCTCCTAACTTTTAGGAAGTTTTTATCTAAGGATCAGATTGTTTGCCAACCGATCCAACATATGATGCTAAAAGATGAAACAATATGCTTCTAGCAGAAGTCCAATTATAAGTGCTCTGGTAAAAAGTGTTTAATAAGAAATCATTTTGATGCGTGATTCTACACCCTTGAGAGTGCTTCAAATTACTTCTTGAACTTGATCAAGCACTGGTGCTTTGAAAAAGAATTTTTATATTCCTCCCCAAACCTGATTATTTTGAGAGAAGTGCTTTTCGAACATAGTCTTAGTACTTTAACTACCTTCCTTAACCAATGGAACTTACCCAAAATACGTCCTACCGAAACAGGACGGAATGTATAAAACCCGAAACATTGATGATAACATGTACGAAGCTCAAGAATAGTAAGAAGAAGAATAGTAGTTGCTCTATATCAAGGGGAAGCAGTTTTACTTGGTAGTGTTATTGGCAATAGGAACAAGCCATTGCAAAGTTTTCTCCATCTCAGCTTTGATTTGAGGAATTGTAAGCTGCATGAACGAATTTGAGAAAATAAGATTAGTACAGGGCTAAACCAATTAAATAGGCTATTTTAACAAATAATAATAATAAATTTGTTTTCAGTAAAATTCACATATACCTCTTCCTTGAGCTGAAATGACTGTAATTTTGAGCGCAAAGCTGACTTTATACTCGGTGGTAGTCCTTGATACAAAGCATCCCTAGTATTAGGAGGTATGGAACTCGATCGAGACACCTGATTCAGAAACATATGTTAACTCAGAACAAAATAAAGAAACTAAAAACCTATCCATTCTCACAGCTCAATTCAGAACCAGACATCATTGGATAAAAGCTCAGATACAATCAGTTCATTCCTAATATGACTTAGCTTTAAAAAATGAAACTGGATTCTATCTTTAAAAATGATAACTAATAAAAAAGATAACTTTTTTTTTCTCATGGACTCTGCTTTTGCCTCTCTTCGATCTCATAATGTTACAATCTATGATTTCATTTTCCAACTGTAGACATGCTGGTATATGAAGTAATACAAATTGATCTTTATACAATTCTCTTTATTGGTAATTTTTTAAGCCATTTACTCAACCCACCAACTAGAAGACTGAAGCTCCATTCCGGTTTGTGTTTCCATGCTTGCTGGAATTTATTTGGTTCATATTCAGACAAATCGAGACGGAGCATTCAATACAAAGAAAAACAATCTAAACACAGACCTTTGAAGTTAATAAGGATTTTTATAGTCATTTTCTCCCTTTTGGACTACTGCTAATTAGAAGATAATTTGTAATCTCCATGGCTTAGGATTGGGAGGATCTCTCAAAATCCCTCACAGTTGAATTGTTTTTCTTATTTATAAAAGAAAGAAGAATCCTAGAACAAACCCTGCTCAAAAAAAGCTTAAACTACAGGTGGATAACACAACTTGCATCATGTGAACAGCAAGAAAAACAAAAACTTGCAAAAAATTGATTTTGAAAGCTTGATGAATCATTACTCACAAGTGTATCGATCTGACTAATAATATTTGCATAATGCAAAGCCAGACCGGCAGTCCCCAACTTTTTGTGGTTATTCTGAGAACCTTTTGTCGGTTTATCATCATCTACAAGATCCCAAGTGAAAAATATAATAAAATGAGCAGAGAATAGAGATAGAAATAATTCAATGACAGATGATATTCAGAAACAAAGCCGAAACATAGAGGGCAAAAAAAATGAAATGCCATTTTTGTCCAAGACAATGGACTACCAAAATCTTCATATTAGCAGTATATTGTCCACACCCGTGCTATAAGTTTATTTCTAGACTACCACCAAAAAGGATTCGTTTCAATGCAACTGTTACTTCAAATTTTTAACCGAAGTAAAACCTGAAAACCACTACTCAAATAAAGGATGTTGAACCTCTCTTCAAATATAAATATGGTATCAGATATTATAACTTCAACTTGGGGAAACAAAAGGCTTTTGTTAGAATAGTTTTTTTAGGGTTGAAAATAGAAGAGATAAGAGTATGACCTATGGGAAAAGTAGAATAACTATATCACGATAAATAAATAAAAAATAAAAAAGGGTTTATGCACACTTTGAATAATGTACAAAGTACAAAATCTGTGCATCTGTGTCACTTTTTGCCAGTTTCCAACAAGAAATTGCAGAACTTGCTGAGTGGCTCTCGAGGCTATTTAGTTTTTTTTTTAAAATAAAAAAAGAAGAAGAGAGAGAGAAGTCTAAAAAATGCTATTTCAAACAGACTGGGAAAAAACCCTTAATTATTTCAATAAAAATATATATAAATTCCATTGGCACACAATTAGAACGTGAACAACCAGAAAATTTCTTGAAGATGATGGAAAGTGTGGGGCAATAGGAGCCAATGAAAATTTGGAGGATAATCTTTTAGATCTAAAGTTGCAAATGTTGAATTCGTTACTCCCTTGATCATATTCCAATAGTCCTGATGTAAAGGGTTATTGTTTTGCCTACCCTCTAAAACTACAAAACTAAAGGGTGATTCTTTTTCTCAATTGTTGTACAATGACACCATTCAGGTATTATCTTGAATTGATATTCAGAGGAAACAAAATTCTTATATTTTGGAGTTAATGCAATTTTAGCCTCCTTTTGAAGTTCTCTCTAAGATTTTCTTCCTAGATTATTCTCCATCTTCAATTAATACCAAACTGAGTGTACTTTGTAATCTCTATGGACTTGGGAACGGGAGGATTTATAATCTTCACTCCTTTATTCATTTGTTTCAAATTTTGATGACATATTTATGATCAAACCTAATATTAATATAGTGTAACATTCTATGATAATCCTCCTTTATGGGCATTGAGGAATTTAAATTTTTATCTAGCATTTTGATTTATTTTAGATTTCAAAGGGTTTTTTTTTTTTATAATTGGGAGTCGTAGCTTTGCTCTAGCTCTAAGGCTCGAACTGGGACATATGAAGGAATTTTGGTATTAAGCTCATTCGAAAGTTCAAACTTGAGACCTCTGAGCTAAAAGCTGGTATGACCAAGAAATCCTAAGTCCTTGTCAATGGGGCCACCCATGGCTTTAGATTTCAAAGGGAATTGTTATTGTAATCTACAAATTGGTATTTATAAAATAAAAACAATAAGAGATCAGATCTAATGGATCAAATAAATGATGTATCCCTAAAGCATTTTTTTCTCATCTCTTTCCTCACATTTCCTTCTTTCCATCTCCCTAACATGTGCCACATGTTCTCCCTCAAATACTACCAAACAACCAAAAGTGAAATTATAGGACACTTGACACGTGTCTGGAGCATGTCAAAACAAATCTAGTGACATGGACACTTTACCTAAAACAAAGTGTCTAACTGTACATTTAGGTAGACTTTTGACCTCAAAAGATGAACAAGATTTGTAGTTTAACCCCTGAGACCAATTATGGCGGCTAACTGTACATTTCTTAGAGACTATGGTTGCTTAAGTTTTTTTTTTTTTTGAGTTCAATGGTTTCAGGTTGGGGATCAAACCATCAACTTTTGGAACAACAATAGATGCTTTTATCTGAGCTATTCTTAGATTGACACGGTTGCTTAAGTTATTTTAAGTGCAATTTTAACCCTAAACAATAAACACACGTCTAGGAAGCATTCACTTAATCATGGATTCATGATAACAAGTTATCCATCATTTCAAGCGCATACCAGCAGTATCAAAGGCTTCATGAATCTCCAAATGCAAGTATTGCACTATGTCCACAAGCTTCTCCATCACCTGTGAATACATGATACAATCTTACTGTTCCCACAACACTGAAATAAAAGCCAACTCAATATTTCTCAAGTACATGTGCTAGTAAGTTCCCTATAAATGGTCTATGTTATAGTAACATCTACTTAAACAGAGGTTGAATTTTTTATTCCTCTGGATTCCATACTTGTTGATAAAAATCCATCTAATTCCATACAGTATTAAAGAGATATAAACAACAGAATTTGCTACCTGTTCCAGAATCCTGGTCCATAAAGATCTCTTCTTTAGAGCTCTGACATGCTTCTTTTGGCTTTTTAACTCAGCCTTTAAGATTGAAATACTATCTCCTGTATGCCAAAATAGTATTCAATATTGAAAGAAACTTTGGAGAAAAATATAACTTCATAATTTAAAAAATCTACAAATAACTACAGCTTTTTCTTTTTTTTTTTTAATGAGAAACGAGTATTTCATTGATGGTATGAAATATAACTACAGCATATTTTACCTTGAATATACACACTTAATAAGAGAGATGAAATACTGTAAGAAACCTACAGGACCCAACCAGACAGTAATTAAGATTCAGAACACTATAGGCTCGAAACCTATATAAATTCCAGAACTACTATCCCAGTATCCCACATTTATGAAATTTTGTCATCCATGGCATGGTCTTCAACTTGGAAACTGCTACTGGTTATGCAAGAAGTTTTATACCTCTTTGAGCGGTGTTGGAATTATCCTCCTCTTGAAGCTTGCGCCGATAATCTTGTTCAAATCTATCCAAGGCTTGTAATTCGTGATAAAGTTCCTAGAAACCAAGAGAATTTTTGGTTATCTTTAAGTAAAATATAAAGGAATCACATATTACAGTGTTTACCATGGAACTAGAACACACGAAACTTCAATGCTAAAAAACCAAACCAAGTTAAGGATACATGTAGACAATCTTACTAGCCTACTAGATTTAGGTTTAAAGAAAAGTGAAGGTGGAAGTATACTGATATCACAGTTCATCCAATGTTATGGCCACTGCATTCGAAGCCCCTTATCTAATTTGATTTCTTTTTATACAAGGCAATAATATTATTAGTGGAAGAAAAATTACAAACACTACGTAAAAATTAATTAACTCGTGATATTCAGTCACGAAGAAGGAAGAAGGAAGAATGAAAGATCACCACAAATGGTAACAAAAAACTAATATTAATGCCAAAATAAAATACCAGAGGCCTGGAAGTACTTCAACTTCTTTGAAAATCATGAACAGGCTTTTTTTTTCCTTCTCTTTTTCCTAAGAGAACAGGCTAATCTTAAATATGCGGAAAAGGTTATTAACCTGAAAATAATTAGAGCATGCCCTATGGTCCTCATAAGGTCATAAAACAAAAATTCAATAAATATATGACTGAGGACATCAAAGTCACAAAGAGAGACTTGAAGCAAGTGGGTGACTCTAAGATGACATGAGAACTCAACCAAGTTTTATTCTATATAAAAATAGTCGAAAGGGAGCTAACTGCAAAATATTGTAACGGTATTCCCATTTTTCTTAGCATTTCCATTTTCCAGTCAGTATGATTACTATTCTCACTTATTTAATACTTTCCAAAGCATGGGAATATGGACCTTACATACTGTAACTCCCACGAAAGGACACACAATAAGGACATGGCTACAAACACAATATTGACCAATCAAACCATTGCCCGTTCAAACATGAACGAACCAACAAGTAAACTGCATGCATATACCATTGAGTGTCAATGACATATATGCCACCAGATAGTTAGTACAAGATTGAAAATTGCTATCATCAATAGCCTATGCTACATAGTACATACTTTCAATCCAATGAATGGTGTGGCACTAATCAATAGGCTCAAAAGCAATAGTTAAGGAAATCTGTGCATAATAGGGACTGGAACTACAATGCAATAAATAAACAAGCACACACAGGATATTGACATCAGTGATGTCAATCACATCAGCTTCCATGCATGTCCATTATCGTTTGAATATCACTGAACCTCTCCCACCAGCTCTGAAGGAAACTTTTTCAAAAAGAAAACAGTGTAAAATTGTTCAGTTTCAGAAAATATTTCTCACAATAAGAAATCTAAAAATATTTCACATAACTCAACACAACTCTCTGTTAGAACCTGTAAGGAAATTTAATTATAATCTATTAACACAACTGCAACAAAGACGAGGAGAAAAAAGAAGAACATATCTTCACAACAGTAATGATATATATACTCACTGCTGTATAGTGTACCAATGTCATCATCTGCTGCATCACTGCCTCAGCATCTTCCTTCAATTGCTTTTGTGGTGTAACTTCTGAACCTAACCTGAGTGTTAAAAATTCAAAGACAAGAAAAAATTTCAATTTTTAAGTCTAACAGCGTTATTATTTAGAAACCAGGAAAAATGGGAGGCAATGATTCCATCGGACATTACTTATCAAAATAGCGGTGCAAATTATGCCACTGAGGATCTTTGCAACGATTTCCAAAGCGAATCACTTCACAAGTGAAAACTTTCAGTTCTTCTCTGCCAGAATTCATAGAAGATAATTACTCTTTTCACAGTTTGACCTCAAACAATGATCCAGACAAAAACAATACGTAGTATACTAAACTAACAACATTTTACTAAACTATCCACCTCTTGTCTGCAGCTGCAATTCTCAAGAGTTCATCCATGTCTCTTGATATTAAATTTTGCACCCCTTCTGATGGGAGCACCTCCTCTTTTAAAACTCTGATGTTACGTTTTGAGAGGGATTGCATTAGACTAGAACCCTTCACAATGGTGTTGGCAACTTCAAAAGCTAAGATTGAAATTTTGTTCCCTTTTGTTGCCACCCCCGAGTTGAAACCACCACCAAGGTTCAAGCTAGTCACACTACTACCAAGTGTATCCAAGACATCAACCGCCTTCCCGAACCCAGCAGTACCTGCTTTGCCTAGAAAGGAGCTCACTTCTGAAACCTACATTACAAATGCAATTTATTTGAGTAAACGTAGAAAAAATGAAGTGATAGCGCTGATTTGTGTACCACCAGGTTCTTGTTCCCAGGAAGGCCCAAAATCATGGGTTCAAATATAAAACTTGCACAAAAAATTCACTATATTATATCTTATGGAAATTAAAAAATTATGAATATCGTGCATGCAATGCATCTAAAGAAAGGAAAACACTTGGTAGAGTAAGCGGATATCTTTTTCTTTTTTATAGGAAAAGATATTTCATTGAGACGAGAGAGTAATTGAATATCAGCACAACTAAACAATTTGTATGAACCGATATATCATTCAGTTGCATTCTTACAGAAAGCTATTCTCAAAGGATACTTGGTTTTATCTTTTCTTGATAAGAATATGCTTGGTTTAATTTCATGGGGAAAACTTTTTGGAAATAGAAGAGGAAACTGTATGGAAATGCAATGGTATTTGTAGTCATTTTATGAATACAGAAAGAAGAAACAGTCTTCATGAATTTTTTTAGCTTATCTCTAAATAGATTTTCATAAAAGCAACTCTCAAAAGGTACTTCATTTGAAAACATTTTAAACTCTTCCATTACTTCCAAGAAGAGGTTATATAGTTGCAAGTAAAATGTAGATTTATTTACCTTTGCAACAGCAGCTTGTCTGGACTTGGTTGATCTAGATTTCTGAGATAAGGTTCTAGATAAGCGAGGAATTCCATCATTGATATCATCCAGTCCGTATGTAACCACATTCACCTCTGGAAATGAAAACGGTTCTCGTAACTGCTTATTCATTCCATCATCAACAGCAGCCGGCGTGGAATCACTAATTTTCGAGGGCAGTCCACGAGACTGATAACCCATCACCGGTTCACTGTTAGAATGACCATTGGCATGTGCAAAGCCTCCATCATAACCATTATTGCCACTAATATCATCTGCAGTGGTTCTTCTTGTTCTCGAACAAACTCCTCCCATTGTGTAGGAAAAAAAAACAAACTATATTTCTCCTGCGTCCACAATTTCCATAAAAGGGCAAATATTTGCCTCTTATCTCTAGAGATGCGATTAGTCTTCAATGAAGCAAAAGACTAATCTCCAGACAGAAATCCTGCCTCAATTAATTTTTTACAAAGTTGACCTTTTCCAAGCAGGACTTCTGCAACAATTGACAATCTAAACCCCAAAACTGAAAACCCTGATGAACCCAACTACCAAAAAACATATCTCGATCAATTTTGAAGCTCCAGCCCCTCCACTACAGGAATCCAACTGTGAATCGAAACAGAAACAGAGAATTCAAAGACTAAAAACCCAAATAAACACATGGAGAACCAAAATTAGAAGCCTACACCGAAACCCATATTGAAAAAAAAAAAAAAAAGTCATTTTAGCAAAAGCAACAAACACAATCATTAAAAAAGAAAATCACTAAAGCAAGTCAAGTAAAGTCATACAAAAGATCTAAACCCACATAGTAATTAGGCATGTTTAAGAGCCATAGAGCAAAGAGACAAACCAGCAAACAATTGGTGGGCAGAGAATCAGTGATGGGATCTGCAAGAAACCCAGATTGAAACTCCGCCGGTTAAACAAGGGGACACCAAAAACAGGCGATGAAAATCAAAGGGTATGTGGAGGCGATGATCTTCAAAGAGGGGTCGACGCTGAATCTCCTAAATGGCAAAAGGGGATTGCGATAACAGGGGAAGAAAGAGAGAGAGAGAGAGGGCAAAATCGAAAAGTCCACCAAGAAAGAAAACGAGAGAGTGAAAATGAAGGGGGGAAATGGGAGAAAACCCAGTTGAGGAGAGAAAGTCAGGGAAGGCAGCTTTCAAAAGAGAGAGGCAGGGAGTGGAAGGAAGTCCAGAAATGGGGTCTGCGCCATGGCCATGGCTGAAGTTGAAGCGGGTCTGGTCAAAGCAGCTCTCTCCCAGCCTCCATTGCTTACTAATTCCAAAAAATTTCTGCCTCCCTCTCTCTCTCTTCTCTTAAAAACTCTTCAATCCGTCACTTTGGTGGACTTCTCTCTTATTCCCACATCGACAACTTCCAACTCCACGCCAACCATTCTCGTCTCTGGATCGTGGTGGACACGCGCCTGTCCTTCACCTTCCGCCTCCCCACCTTCAAATTCTCTGTCAATATATATACTTTTTAGAACATCACAATTTGAGCGCATTTTCACTAATTTTACAAAATAACTGTATGATTTTATTATATATAGTTGTCAAGAAGTTCATAAAATGTTCAATTCAAATTAGATAGTCACCGTGTTACTTTGTTAATAGTTTATAGAGAGAAAAAAAATCAATTTTTATCTCAAAGTTAGGAAGTAGTATAATTTAAAGTTGATTATAAATAATTTAATTATTAAATATATCATTGCAATAATATAACATAACATCATTAAGAATGACATGTGTATTTTTCACTTAAACTTTTTACTTCCTACATTTTATAGCTACCTTATTTGATTATCCATGATTTGACAAAATTATTACATACAAAACACAACTTCAAATTTTCAAAATTATTATATTCTTAATTTTTAAAGAAAAAATTAAATGAACAAATAAAGAATAAAAAAAATACTAGGATGAGTTGCTATCTTTTTTTTATTTTAACACTCACCAGAATTAACCCACCATTTATATCTCCGTCGTCCTAATCTCTCTCATCCTCTTCACCTCCACCAAATCGCTCCTGTCCACCATCGAACACGATGACTTTGGTAAGGAGACCCAATCAATTGAGATTCCAACTCACACAATTGTCACCAATTTATTGAATTGATCATATGAAGGAGTTTTCGTCCCTGTCGAGRACAATTGATGATTTTGTGGAAGATGAAATGGCGGCAATGTGAGTGGAGAAATTGCGGCGCATATAGTATTCGCTAAAAGTATTGTGACATAATGGACCTTCATCGAAATTGAGATAACACTGTAAGAATATCGTAGTAGAATACAAATTGGCAATTGCAACGACTCTTGTTGACTTACCAGATGTTGTGCTTTCTATGGATGAACTCTACAATCATCGATTCGTTTTAGACTTAGAAACCTCTAGAATTATATAGAAATGAGAAAGAGAGACAGAGAAAACCTTTCAAGTTGCATAATTAATACTTAGATGGTGGCTTTTGGAGGGAGGGAGAGGAAAAAGAAACACTTCAAATTTCATAAGTAAATACTCAATGAAAATAGATAATAAATTTTTTCATATTCTAACGTTTTGAATACAAAATTAAGTGAAACTTAATTTTAAAATATAAAAAAGAAAATAAGAGATAAAGAGATTTATATGAGTGGATTAATTTTAGCAATGAATTTGGATGGGTGGAGAAATAATTAAGGAAGAATGGATGGGAAAGTAATACAATGAGAGAACAAATCAATTTGAGAAAAGTGAGATTTGTAAAAGTGAAGATAAAGTATGGAAAAAACTTCACTCTTAAGATTCTCGAGGAAGTTCCTCCTGAATTCCCACCTGGTCCAGTAGTGTATAGACAAGTGGATTATATATGAATTATACAAAATTAAAAAATTCACTTCTTCATATGTTACTGGACCATGCATGAATTCAAGAGAAGTTTCCTCCTGAATCTTCGGGAGGGAAGTTTTGTCCATAAAGTATTTAAAAAAAATACAATAAGCAAAGAGAGAAATGGGGGAAGTGGCGTGGGAATGAGAGAGAGAGGAAGAAAATAGGAGAGATGACACAGGTTGCCATCAAACTTTTGTAAAAACTAGTCTATTACCACATGCTATGCACGTGAGATTTTTCAATTCAACTCTATATTATATTAACATAGTAAGAGATTAAAAATTTCACTATTTATTGGAAATAAAATGGTGAAAAGAAAACGCTTCTATAAATTAATAGAATATTAATGTAACTCAAAGTTCAACGGTGGAAGAAAATTTCACTTAATTCAACACTATATTATATTAACATAGTAAAAGATTAAAAATTTCACTATTTATTGAAAAAAAGAAATGGTGAAAAGAAAACGCTTCTATAAATTAATAGAATATTAATGTAACTCAAAGTTCAACGGTGGATAAAAATTTCACTTTATAGTTCTAACAAGTTTAAAAGTCGTAACACTTTTGAAATTTCTCGATTAAAGTTCTATAATCATTCAACTTTTTAAATTATAATTCATAAACTTTTCTTTTTTTAAATTACATATGAACTCAATGATACAAAATTTTCTTTTATTCAAAAATTAAATTTTACTTAATAAATTTTTTATTGAATTTGTAGTCTAATTGCGTTATAAACTTATTGTTTTTTTAGAAAATAAATACTCATAATATTTCACATTTAAAAGTTAGTTGTACTTATTTGAATCCATATTATATTCATTTGTGTATTTATTATATGCATGTAGGAGATAGATAATAAGTTGAATTTTGAGATTCCAACAATCCATTATTTATTCCAATTAAATATAAAATCATAAATTTTAGATATAAATAAGTCAAACTTTTCATACTCTTCATTTTTTTTTTGAAACATTTTCATACTCTTCATAACTTCTACATTATTATTAATAAAAGTTACTAAAAAAAAGCATGTTTAGTAAATTTGAAAATTGATAAAGGGACATAATGATAAAAAAAATATTTTTCCGAGATTAATTAGCTTAAAAGAATTTTGTTTATTTAAAAAAGTTTTAAAATTAAAGATTATATTTTAACTAATTTTTTTTAATACTTACTAAAACATGTCATATTCAATTAAAAAATTCAAAATAATAATAATAATAATAATAATAATAATATTTCTTAGATGGTAGTAGGAGAGAAAATTTGATTAAGAATCATATTACATTCAAAAAATTAGAATTAAAAAAACTATAGTAAAATTAAATTTCAAAATTATAACTATGCATAAACTTTTAAAATAAAAATAATAAGAATATTTATTTATGTAACAATTTATAAAGATTTATGGAATAGATAACCACCTTTATTTCAAAATAGTATCTAATATTGTCCTTCGTTGATATTTGAGATCATACCACTCTCCAGGATTCAATTACGTCTAATTATAGAAATACACTACTTATCATTTTTATGTATCGAAATACTAAATGCGATAGGCATTGTACAATATGACACTACTTTTAAGCATAAACAAAAGAAGGAGGAACAAACTCTTATTTCACAAGGGAAGAAATATCCTCTAGCCAATCTTCCAGCAAGATACAATGATCTTCGTTTTTCAATGCTCAAGAAACTCAAACATCTGTCACTCTATTTCCATCTCTTTTAGTAAATCTGTACATCGATCTTCTAGGAGAGTGTACAATGTGACACTACTAAATCCGTAAAAGAAATAGACTAAAAAAAGAAAGCTAAATGATTGTGGAAAAAGTTAGAGAGAAACTTCATATATATACATACATATAGGACATAGATAAGTTGAAAATTCTAAAATTCCATTATTTATCCGAATTAAATATAAAATCATAAACTATTAGATATAAATAAGACAAACATTTCATATTTAAGCTTTTCATATTCATAACTTCTACATTATTATTAAATAAAATTTATTAAAAACATAAAAAATGACATGAAATTTAAAAATTGATAAAGAGACGTGGCGTTAAAAAAAATATTTTTCAAAGTGGTAGCATTTTAATATTTTTCAAAATTGTAGCATTTTAATATATTATAGATTAGTTAGGAAAGACGGGAAAATTGACTTAGAATTTTAAAGAAAAACGATATTAGAACTAGATTTATTTTGTGCATTTACTTAACATTGTGTTAATCTTGATTGTTACTCTGAAATTAACAAAGTTATGGGAGATTTTTATTTTTTTTTCCTAAATCAATTATCTTTTATTTAATTTTTTTACAATAAATGAAAAAATATGGATTTGAACTCATGACCTCTTAGAGACATGTGACAATTATTATTGCTGAGTTAATTTTGTCTTGGTCATAATTATTTAAATTTAAAGTTTAACCCAAAGTGGAAAGTTGGATGAAAATTAAGACACGCAGGTTTAGGAGTAAAATTGTTTTTCTCCCTAATTTATATTTCTGGGATGAGCTGAGAGAGGATTTTTTTTTCTTTTTTTTTTTGGCAGGGGAATAATAGTATTGCTTTTATTAAATATCACCATCATATTTAATAACAATGGCTAAATGTAGTTGTGTGCATATTAATTTGAGTTAGGTCGAGTAAGTTTCAATTTTTTTTTCCTGTATATAGAGGTTGTGATTCGAACTCACGATCTTTAGGTTGAAGATGGTCTCGATGATACAAAAAATGTATCAATATTTTCTTTAATAAAAGTATTATACCTTTTTTTTTTAAAAATTAACTTACATTAAGGAATGGAAGAATATAGAGTATGCTTTAGAAGCATGTTTCTCTAACTTTAGTACAAACGAAAGATTATTAGAGTTTATAACTTAAAACCTTGTAAATTGTAAACATTTTTTTTTGGAAAGGCAATAGTAAACATATTTTTTTTTATTTTTAGGTTAAAATAGTATTTTGATCAACGTACTATTTAACTTTTGTTTATTTTAGTCTATTTAATTCAAGACGTTCATTTTGACTCTGTACTTTAAACTTTTGTTCATTTTAGTCAATGTACTTTCGTTTATTTGGTCACTGTACTTCTAAAAATGGACCATTTTAGTCCCTTAATTTCATTATTAATCTCATTTTTTTCTATCACAATTTCAACACGACGCTACACTCAATGTATTTCTTAAAATGTAATCATTACTTTATAGTAGAGGGTTTCCGTTACATGTAGAATTTGTGTTAAAATTTTACAAATAGGGACTAAAATATCACTTTTTAAAAGTAGAGAAGCCAAAATGGATATTTTGAAAGTACATAGACTAAAATAAAATAAAGTTAAAAGACAGAGGAGCTTCGTGAGAATCGATTCAAACCCTACGGTGACTAGCTTCATACTTGAGGTATATATTAAACTCTACGAACTAGTTTTCCAACAAATTATATGTTGTAGGATGAAACAATTGTCCCATATAAAATT